CGAGAAACAAGCCAGAGCCATACAGGAAGTTGCAACTCAACAAGTAGATGCAATCAAATCAAATTATAAGGGACCAGGACTAGGACCGAGACGATGACTATCGGCAGGAAAGCCCAGAAAATTACAAGAGAGAAGATTGATACAAGCGGTACAAGTGGACAAGTGATTCAGTGTTCAAAGTGTAATAAAGTGCATGAAAGAAAATGGTGTCCTGCGTTTTGAAAATAATGTTTTAAATGTAAAGGTAGAAATCATTTTACTGTAGCATGTAAGTATCCTAGTAATAATCCAAACAAAATGTACAAATCGTTAATGAGCAGAAAGAGCCGTTTGTAATTTCTGAAATTTGGAGGAGTGACAACAAATCAAAGGATGTATGGTTGTCAATGATAAATGTGGAGAACAATATGTTACAATTTAAGCTAGATTGCTGTGCTGATTGTAATATTTTGCCTCTAAATGTTTATAATAACTTAAATGTAAAAGAGAAATCCGAAACATTTTTTTAATGTAATACAATAGTTACATTTGGCGGATTTAAAATTAAAACATACGGAAAGATAGAATTAAACTGTACTGTAAATAATAACAGTGAAACATGTTTATTTTATGTAGCAGATGTAAATGCTGAACCAATTTTAGGTTCAAGTAGTTGTACTAAGTTAAATTTACTTAAGAAAGTAGAAACTATTTCAGAAAAAATTGAGAATAAGGGTGAATTTTTAAAGAAATATGAATCACTGTTGACAGGTTTAGGTTGTTTCGAAGGGGAGCATCACATTGTGATAAATAAAAATGTAACACCTGTAATACATGCATCCAGAAAAATACCCTTGTCGATCCAGCCACTCCTTAAAGAAACGCTAGAAACTTGGGAAGAACAGGAAATTATTGCCAAAGTAGAATATCCAATCGATTGGGTGAACAGTCTAGTCACAGTGGAAAAAAAAGATGGAACCCTGAGATTGTGTCTAGACCCCAAGCATCTCAATGAAGCAATCAAGAGAGAACATTACACAATACCGACCGCTCAAGCTGTACTTTCAAAGTTATGTGGAAAAAAGATTTTCACCGTGATAGATATGAACAGCGGTTTTTCGCAAATTAAGTTGGACAAAGAAAGCTCAGACCTATGTTGCTTCAACACGCCATATGGAAGATATAAATTTATCCGGCTATCATTTGGAATAAAGAGGGCACCAGAAGTATTTCAGAAGAAAGTAGTACAGATATTTGGATATATTGAAGGAGTTAACATAATATTTGACGATTTAATAATAGCAGCAAGTACAGAAGAAGAACACGATAGAATTTTAGGAAAAGTAATGAAAAGAGCTGAGAAAAATAAAGTGAAATTTAACAAGAATAAACTTCAATTTAAGGTGAAAGCGGTAAAATTTTTAGGTAACATAGTAAGTGAAAAAGGATTAGTCACAGATCCAGAAAAAGTTAAAGCAATTGTAGCAGTAGAGACACCAAAGAGCAAAGAAGAATTTAAGAGATTTTTGGGAATGATCAATTACCTTTCAACATTCATACCAAACTTAGCTGAGTTAAACGCACCATTAAGACAGTTGTTAAAACAAGATATAGAATGGGTTTGGAATGAGAAGCATCAAGAGAGTTTAGAAAAGCTGAAGCAATTGTTATGTAAAGCACCAGTATTATAGTATTATGACCAGAAAGTTCCAATAATTATTCAAACGGATGCCTCAGGAAATGGTTTAGGAGCGTGCTTATTGCAAAATCAACATCCAGTTGCTTACGCTTCTAGAACACTAAAAGAAAGTGAGATGGCACAGATAGACTGTTAGCGATTGTGTATGCTATAGAAAAGTTTCATTATTATGTTTATGGAAAGAAGTTTACGGTACAGAGTGATCGTGAACCCCTGGAAGCGATACTGAAGAAAGAGATAACGAAAGTCACTTGTAGATTACAGCGAATGATACTGAAATTAATCAAATATGACTTCAAAGTGACTTATACACCAGGAAAACAAATGTACGTAGCGGATACTCTTTTTAGAGCATATTTAAAAGATCCGGTATCAGATGATCCAGAGCTTGAAAGCGTCGTTCATTCAGTATCCAAGCATTTAGCGATAACTGCAGAAAAAAGAAAAGTATTCCAAGAAGAAACCAAGGAAGACAAAGTATCAAAACTCATAATGAAATACCACCTTAATGGTTGGCCAGACAGTAAAAAGACACTCGAAGAAGAAATAAAAGAGTATTGGAAATATAAGAATGACGTGGATATTCACTGAATTTTTATTGGAGATCAACTACTTATATCGAAGAAAATGAGACAAGAAGTTTTACAACAAATTCACCATGGAAAAATGCAAGATGAGAGCAAGATCGGTTGTCGTCTGGCCAGGAATAACGAAACAAATAGAAAATATCGTTTCAAGATGTCGGATATGTGAGAAATATCAACACAACAGGAAAGAAACACTTATCACATATCCAGTTTCGAATAGAGCTTGGGAGAAAATAGCAGCCGATATACTGACATTTCAAAGAGTTGACTATTTACTAGTCATATATTATTTATCGAATTGGATAGAACTGGTTAGATTGAGCGGAAAGACTGCCACAGACGTGATAATGAAACTAAAAGAAAATTTTTCACGCAACGGGATACCTGAGATATTGATTTCAAACAATATGCCATTCAACAGTGTGCTGTTCAAAGAGTTTGCAAAAGAATGGGACTTCAAGGTTGTTACATCAAGACCCAGGTATGCACAGTCTAATGGATTAGCGGAAAGAGGTGTGAAAATTGGCAAGAACATACTCAGAAAAGCATGGGAACAGAAGATAGATATATATATATATATATACATTTCTGATGGAATATAGAAACACAACGATAAAAGGATTACTGAGTACCTACATATTTATATACAATAGTTTTCATTTGAGAATACCAAACGTACCTATATGTCAATGTAAATTCAATTGGAATTTAAACACATGTCGTGTTCTTCTGGTCACATCATTTTCTTCGTCAACAAAGGAAAGAAAAAAATTCAAAAAAAGAAATTGGCAAGATCATTACTGACATTTTTGCATCAGCACAAGCGGGAATACAGGGAACTTGAGGAACTCGTCCTGGCAACGACAAGCAATACTCCCGACCAGCAGGTTAACAAGGAATTATCGTCACAAATTCCAGATTCTTTTTCACAAAGGGAGGATGGAGAAGTTGGGTTAACATCACAATCACCGGTCTTTCTTCAGAGAGTGAACTTTCTTATTTAGAAAAAGACTCTGATGATGATATGGAAATTTCTTCGGAGACCAAATTTACCTACTGATATCCGATTTGTGACCTGAAATAATTAATAGCGATCTTGCCAGAAATAATTATAATTTCCCAATAAGTGAGGGAAGAAAATTTTCCGAAAATTATTACCATCGTAACCTAGCTATGATTGTATGTTTGAGATTAGCAGAGACTGGCTTATCTATTCACTTTCGAAAGATTCGATATATTGTTTTTACATATTTGGAAAATCTGTGAGTTGTTTATTAAAAATTTGAATGGGTTTTTAGATTGGCAACATTTGTCTTCAATGTTAAAAATACATGAAACGAGCATTAGCCATAATGAAAATGTGAAATTGTAGATTAGTTTAAAATGCAATTGCAACTTTTAGAATCAGAGAAAAAACACTGGCAAGAAGTAATTGGGGTAGTAAAGTTTTTATCACGTCAGTGTTTCGTCTTAAGAGGTTCATCCAAAAAATTATAAGAACACAACAATGTCAATTTTCTCAAAGCTATTGAGATGATTTCGTCATTTGATTCAGTTATGCAGGAGCATAGTTATTCACAGAATCGAACAACATAAATTAAAAAATCATTGCATGATACGATATTCAAAATCAAATAATTTCATTGCTCGGCACTATGATTAAAAATCGTATTTTAAATAGGGTTAGGCAATAAAAATATTTTTCCATTATACTAAATTGTACGCTTGACCGTAGCCATACACAACAAATTACAATTAATATTAGATTTGTCGTTTTAAATGATAATAATATGAAAGTAGAGTTACGAGAACATTTTATTGGTTTTTGCCCCAATACAATCCACGGGTGAGGGTTTGTGCTCCTTTGTAACAAATTTATTTTTAGAACTAAAGCAGAATTTGCCAGGATGAAATTTAGAAAAATTCATCTAGTTTAGCTAAAAAATGTATTTAGTTTTTTTAGTTTTTTTTTTTAATCAGTTATATGGATATCTATGTATTTATGTTTTTATTAGCAAAATATATAGATTTGTGTTCAACAAAGGGATTTGTTTGTTCGTTTGTTTTGAAATACATTTTAATTTTAACGCTTTAATGACTGGTCCTTAATTTTCTACTTATTTTAACGGCCCCATGCAGAATAGTGTATATTATTTTCGGACGAATAAACAGTACAACAATATAATAAAATTAGAGGTCAAAACTGGGCAAGTTCATTGAGTTGAATACGTTAGAAAAATTGACATTTACATTAATGTTTGTTAAAAAATATCCTTCAAGATGCAATGTTGTGTGCGCTTTTTACATTAATAAATTTTTGTCTGCCAAAATTGTTTACACAGAATGTTTAAATAATAAATTAAGTAATTAATTATTTCTGCAGACGAACCAGAAACGAAATTGACGTTATCCGTGTTATCACAAAATCAAATAATATTTGGAAAAACAATTTTTAACAACTGGTAGTCAATAAAAGTCGTTTAATAAAAACAAGCTTTACCTGCGCGCAACACCATCGACATCTATTACAGCATTAAATTTAACCTTCAACGTTACCCCATCCAAACAACTCGAACTTGTTTACACAAGAAACATAAAAATAGTGTGGCATCGTTCTGCGCGAGGTATGTGTGACGTTTCAAGCTCCCAAAGATTAATTGTGTATTATTAAACAAAAGAAAAAAACGCAGTAAGTCAAGAACCACATTGTTATTTACCCTATTATTAAGTCTTACCTGTATAGAAATCAAAATGCTTGGGTGTAGCTGCAATTTTAGTAACTTCCTGGCCGTATTAGCAACACTAACAGTTATCGTAATCGCATACTTCAAATGGAGCTTTCAGTACTGGCAACGCCGCAACTTGCCTTATTTAAAACCCACAATTCCCTGGGGAACATCCTCCAATCTACTCAAACCTGATGTGTACATTGGTGTGCAGGTGAAGCGCCAATATCATACAATGAAAGCCAAGGGATGGAAACACGGTGGACTTTTTTCTGTCACAACCCCTATATACCTTGTGGTCGACTTGGAGTACGTTAAAAATATTATGACAAGAGATTTTCAGTACTTTATCGACCGTGGACTCTATTATAACGAAAAAGATGATCCTCTTAGTGCCCATCTTTTTGCCATAGGTGGTCAAAAATGGAGAAATTTGAGAACTAAACTAACACCAACGTTTACGTCTGGGAAGATGAAGATGATGTTCTAGACGCTAGTAGACTGCGTACCCAATCTTATCGAAAAAATTGAATCAAGTTGTGGCTCCCAAACACCTATAGATATCAAAGAGGCTCTAGGATGTTTTACTACGGACGTTATTGGTTCTTGTGCTTTCGGTTTAGACTATAATACGTTTAAAGAAGAGAATTCGCCCTTCAGAGAATATGGTCGTAAAGCTCTGCTAACGTCGCCACTACTAATGTTAAGATTAATATTTGGTATGCTTTTTCCCAACGTGGCTAGACGTTTGGGTGTAACAGCAGTACGCAAAGATGTGTCCGCTTTCTTCATGAAAGTAGTCAAAGATACGATCCATTACAGAGAAACTAATAATGTCACTCGTAAAGATTTCATGCAAATACTAATAGACTTAAAAAATCAAAACAGTGACGCTTTGACAGTCGAAGAAGCCGCAGCTCAGTGTTACATTTTCTTTTTAGGTGGTTTCGAAACGTCTTCCACTGTTATGACTTTTATTTACACTATACGAATTAGCAAGAAACCCCCACTTACAAGAAAAATTGAGACATGAAATTAACACCGTTTTGGATAAACATGATGACAAAATCACGTACGAAGCTATCCAAGACTTGAAATATATGGATCAAGTAATCAACGAAGCATTAAGAATGTACCCTCCAGTTTCACTTGTTACTAGAAAGTGCGTGAAGGATTATAAAGTTCCTGATGCAGATGTTACTATCGAGGAAGGTGTCGTTGTGATGATACCAATCATGGGTATCCATTATGATGAAGATTACTATCCTGAGCCTGAGACGTTTGATCCTGAACGATTTAACGAAGAAAACAAGAAATCGAGACCGCAGTATACTCATCTTCCCTTTGGTGAAGGTCCTAGAAATTGTATAGGTAAGGAGACGAAACTAAGTGTCGTACTGGTTAAATTTTGAGATTGTAGGTTTGAGATTTGGACTCATGCAAACAAAGGTGGGGTTAACAGCCGCCTTAAAACGCTATAGGTTTACGGTGAACAAGAAAACTCAAGAACCACTGAAACTGAATGTAAAGTCGATGCTGACATCTGCTGAGGGTGAAATTTGGTTGAATGCCGAAAAAATATAGAGCTGAGGAAGAAAATTAACATGCCAAAGTGTACATTTTTACACGTGATAAAACCAAAAATTTTAAAATACATAAGTATATTATTTAGTTAAATGTTAGCTGTGATTATTGCCTTAACAATTGTAAAGTCTGTTATACACTCATATAAAATTATTTGTCATAAATTTCAAATAAGTATAAAAAAATACGAGATTGTTGGAGATTGTAAGTTATTAATTAAGGGAAATAATTATTTAAGCGGTTTTTCAACTATCCCGGTGGTTGTAATGATTCATATAGGTAATATTATTTTTTGCATTAATTAAATTGTCAGCCGTAAAATGTTGAATGGGCAGTTGGATAAATTATTGGTCAGTCCTCGGCATTCGCTAAAAGTTAAACCTTACTTTATCTCTCTTATACAATAAGTTTTAACATATTTTTTAACATATCTACGGGCATATTTGAAATTATTTTATTTTAATTTAGATTTAAAAATAAAAAAATATATTTTCGTAGCAAACTGTGTTCTAACAAAAAAAAAGTCGAAAGGATGTCATCTAATTGTTGGTTGAGATGATTATCCAACTTTTGGTTAGCGTTTTACCATCTTCACGATTTACACAGTGAACACAAAACTTCCATTAGTTCTCGATAACACTGTATCATGCGTTAAAATTGTTTCAACATTTTCAGTTTCGTTTTTTTGATCTTCTAAATTAGGCAAAGGATGCAAATACGCCAAATATACTGAGTGACAAAAAACCGGTGGCCCTGAAATTTTTGAAAACCATTGCCAAAATTATTAATTTCACTAGTGACTGTTATTGCATTAGAGAACCATCCACTGGTTGACATAGACGTATAAATACAGAATTAAATTTAATTTAAGAAAGTAACACAAACGGTGTAATATTTTAGTGTCGCCACAACAATAAATCTAAGTACCTTAAATCTGGGCTGCGAGCTGAACTTTAAGTAAGGCTTGTATTACCGATTCAATTTTCATAAATAAATGTTTTTTGGATTACAAAAACATTGGTCTAAGGCTATCCATTCAGACAGAACTTCCCTCGTACCTACCTTATGTTTAAGGTACGAGGCAAGTTCTGTCTTTGTATTAAGGCCAACAAAATTGATTGAGAAAGTCGGTAGGTACTCTTCCTTTTTGCCATCAAGTTTGTCAACCTTATGCCAGACTTGTGCAAGGTTATGTCGGAATTAATCTATAGGAGAACTGTTCGATCAATCTACACCCACGCGTAAACTTGAGAAATTGTTTTATTTTACAGATAGCATATTAAGAAACGCAACCGAATGTGTAAAAATGACAAATCTAAAATTCGAAAAAAAAGAAATACATTTTGAACAAAAATTTACCACGCTTATCACAACTTTAGAATATTTCCAAGATTTCAAAGCATTCTTTTTTGCAGTTCCTGATTAAATCAGTAAAATAAATTCACGTATTCATTAATTTTTTTTAGCAGCCTTGTATAAGCAAATCCAAAAAATATGAATTGAATGATAAATCACAAGTACAGACTCATCATATTTTGGACATTTGAGATAGGATTTATTCATCCAAATTTTGAGTTGACGTCATCAACTTTTTGGAGGGGATAAGCAAACATATTTTGAATAAAAAATTATTTATACATAAATTGATTCTATTTCAAATCTAACAGTTGATATACTTCGACAATTTAATAAACAAACTTAACAACTGTCAAAATTTTGACGATCCTAAACAACCTAACAGATCGAGTTTTTTTTAATTATAAAATTTCATTATCCAAAATTTTATATATTCCCAGACAATTATTTTATTACATTTTTGTAGCGGGGTATTGAGTATTATTTTTTTCAATTTTGTCATTATTTGGCATTGAAATCTTTGTCATTTTTTTTGTGATTGCTTATTAAAAAGTTAAATTGGATGAAGTCGTCTCTGGGGTGTATAATATGTTGCCTATGCAAAAATTGTCAGGCGTAAACAGATAAAAGGAACACCCTGTATAGTACTTGTAATTTAAGGCAAATACGTCTGCAAGATTTCAAAGTATTGAGTTTTGCAATTCTTGATTTAATCAATAAAATTAATTGACTCAGTCACCTATTTTTTTCAGACACCCCGTATAGGCAAATCTAAAAAATCACTAGTATAGACATAATTATTTACACATATAAGATAGTATTTTTTTAGCAAAATTTTTACCATGCTTATAAATATAAAACATCTCCAAGATTTCAAAGCATTCGGTTTTGCAGTTCCTGATTAAATCAAGAAAATAAATTCACCTGATTAAATCAATAAGATACATTCACGCATTTATTAATTGTTTTGAGTCACCCTGTATATGCAAATCCAAAAAATATGAATGGAATGATAAATCACAACTACAGACTAATCATATTTTGCACATTTAAGCATTAAGTATTTATTCAGCAAAATTTTGAGGTTACGTCATCAATTTTTTAGGGGGGGATGAGCAAATACATTTTGACTAAAAATTTACCATGCCTATGATGACTTTAAAACATCTGCAAGATTTCAAAGCATGTGGTTTTGTAGTTCCTGATTAAATCAATAATTCACACATTCATTAATTTTTTTGAGTCACGTTGATTCAAAATTAAATTGCAAAATGTTGTTTCATGATTTTGATTTTTTTCCAAAAATCTGGACGTTTCGGGTAAAAACTCAATTCGGAGTCATAAATAAAATGTGTAGGACTATGTTCAAAATTTCACAACAATCGGTCCAGTACTTTCGGAGATTATCTGTCTAATAAAAATCCGGGACGGCAGACAGACAGACAGATGGACAGACAGACGGAAACGGGAGACCTATTTCTTTGTACTCTAGGGGTCATGAAAGATCGAGAAAACGTAAAAGGAGAGAGTCAGCCGACGGGCTCGATTGCAATACTTCCTTTGCTTACGCTCAGGAAGTAAAAAAATGGTCCAAAGCTGTTTCGACAGAACTTCCCTCGCGCCTAAAATACCTACAATGAAACATATCCAGCATTTTCGAGTTGAGTTTTTACTTTACACAATTTTGTGACGACGTCATCAACATTTTTGCAAGGACACGTAGGTATATCAACTTGGATTGGTGCAGTGTAATACTAAAATTAACAGTATTGTATTCTCAAAATTTTCTGGGAAAATAATCAATAAAATAAATTGACTCATTCATTAATTTTTTTGAGCCACCTGTATAAGCAAATCTAAAAAAATTACTGCAACGATAAATCACATGTAAAGCCTCAGTTTTACAATTCTTGATTTGTTCAACAAAATAAATTGACTGATTCATTTTTTTTTTATCACCTTTGTAAGCAAATATTAAAAATATGAATGCACTGAAAAATTACAAGTATAGATTGATCATATTTTGCACAATTTAGGATTTATTTGTCAAAATTTTAAATGACGTCATCAATTTTTTGGGGTTGATAACCAGATACATTTTACATAAAAAGTTATCATGCTTACAATAACTTCAAAATGTCTGCAAAATTTCAAAGTTTTGCAATTCTTATTTAATCAATCAAATAAATTGACTCAGTCATTAATTTTTTTGAGATAGCCTGCACACGCAAATCTAAAAAATATTAATGCAGTGATAAATCACAAGTATAGACTTACCTTCAGACTCATCACTTTTTACACATTTTAACATAGGATTTATTCAGTAAAATTTTGAGCTGAGGTCGTCAATTTTTTGGAGGGAATAAGCAAATATATTTTGATTAAAAGTGTATCATGCTTATTATAAATTAAAAATATCTGCAAGATTTCAAAGCATTCGGTTTTGCAGATTCAAAATTAAATAGCAAAATGTTGTTATTGTTTTTGATTTTTTTTTCCAAAAATCTGGACAGTACAGTTATTCAAACACCTACGAAGATATTTTCTCCCACGTAGGCTCTCACTGCTTCGCAAGAGAAGAATGCGATTTTAAATTACGCGTCGTGTCTATCTCATGAAATGAAACTTCAAAACGCCGAACGAATCTGTAAATTATAATGAGTACACAATTAATATTCCCAGCGGAATTTTTATGTAAACATGAACACGGCGCATGTGCTAACTTTATTCTGATATTTCTGGTACACAGTACAATGTGAGTGCTACACGAGTTACGACGTCATATTTGGAGATAATATTACTTGTTATCAGTATCCTATCAATAATCAGATGGATACATTTTCTTAAAAGTAAGTGCATATACGGAAGATCCACCTACGCTTCTTAAATCATTTTTTCTTAAAGAATTATGCAGCCTGTGTGACATCGCAAATCCCCAGTATTATTTAGGTATTCATGCACATCCGTTATTTGCTTTGTTATTGTTAGGTATTTTCTATATGTGCAGACGTCATAATGGTTGTATTCAGCTGTAGTTTTAGTAATTTTTTGGCCCTTATTGCAACACTGACTGTTGTCGTGATCGCATACTTCAAATGGAGCTTTCAGTACTGGAAACGCCGAAACCTACCTCACTTAAAACCTACAATCCCCTGGGGGACATCCACCAATCCATTTAACCCAGATGTATACGTCGGTTTACAGCTGAAGCGACAATATGACGAAATGAAAGCCAGAGGTTGGAAACATGGTGGACTTTTCTCCATCATAAGTCCTGCGTACCTAGTGACTGATTTAAACTACCTCAAAAATATTATGGCAAAAGATTTTCAGTACTTTGTCGACCGTGGATTCTACTACAACGAAAAAGACGATCCTCTTAGTGCCCATCTTTTTGCTATCGGTGGCCAAAAGTGGCGGAATTTAAGAACTAAATTCACACCAACTTTTACTTCTGGAAAGATGAAGATGATGTTCCAGACGCTAATAGACTGCTTACCCAACCTTCGAGAAAAAATGGAAACAGGTTGTGACTCTCAAGCACCTATTGACATTAAGGAAATTCTAGGATGTTTCACTACAGATGTTATTGGTACTTGTGCTTTCGGTTTAGACTGCAATACAATTAAAGAAGAGAACTCACCTTTTAGAGAATATGGTCGTAAAGCTCTGCTTATGTCGCCAATGCTAATGTTAGGAATAATATTTGGTATGCTTTTTCCCAACGCGGCCAGACGGTTAGGAGTGATAGCAGTACCCAGCGATGTATCAGCTTTCTTTATGAAAGTAGTCAAAGAAACTGTTCAATACAGAGAAACAAACAAAATCACGCGTAACGACTTCATGCAAATAGTCATAGATTTAAAAAATCAAGGCGATCATGTTTTAACGATCGAAGAAGTCGCAGCTCAGTGTTTCGTTTTCTTTTTGGCTGGATTTGAAACATCTTCCACTGTTATGACTTTCACGCTATACGAATTGGCACGAAATCCTCACTTACAAGAAAAAGTGAGAAATGAAATTAACACCGTTTTGGATAAACATGATGACAAAATCACGTACGAAGCTATCCAAGAGATGAAATATATGGACCAAGTGATTAACGAAGCTTTAAGAATGTATCCTCCTCTTTCTTTTCTTACTAGAAAGTGCGTCAAAAACTATAAAATTCCTGATGAAGATGTTATTATCGAAAAAGGTGTCAATGTTGTAATACCAGTTCTCGCTATACACTACGATGAGGAGTACTACCCTGAGCCCGAGAAATTTGATCCTGAACGATTTAGTGAAGAAAACAAAAAATCGAGACATCCGTATGCTCATATTCCTTTTGGTGAAGGTCCTAGAGTTTGTATAGGTAAGAAGGGAAAAAATATTGTTGGTTGCTAAAATTTTGTCACTGTAGGGCTGCGTTTTGGGTTGATGCAAACAAAGGTTGGGTTAACGACGTTGTTAAAAGACTATAGATTCACGGTTAATAAGAAAACTCCAGAACCATTGAAAATGAAAGTAAACTCGTTGGTAACAGCTGTTGACGGCGAAATTTGGTTGAATGCCGAGAAAATATAAATCCAGTAAAAAGCTTATATCTCAGAGCGACCAATATATTTAAAAATGGATTTGGGTCTCTACAGAAGCTTTTATGACGTTCAGGCTGAAAAATAATGCCTAAGTTTTGCTACTGTAATGCATATATAGGATAAATATTTTTATAAATTTTACCATTTGTTTGTATATATTTTAAAGTTTGTTCAAATATATCTTAATTTGCCCAGATCTTTATATACTGCAGTATCCCTACTCGAAATCCTGTTATTTCCTCAAGAGCTCTAATTGACAATACATAGTTGTTTTAAGATTCTCGTAGATTGTTCTTACTACGTGAACACTTTCAATGTTCGGAAAATACTTTTGTCATTTCTTACTTTTAATGGCACATTTCCGTGGTCTTACCTTTGTGAGAAGAATTTTCGTTAAGAGGATTCTCTAAGTTTGGCTCATGAGATTTTAAATAAAATTTTAGAATGTAATATTTCCATTAGTAACAGACTTTTTCTTTTGAAATTTTAAATATAACCTGTATATATATATTTTTTTTAACAATTTATCATCATGTTTTAAATTTTGGTGATATATTTCTTCACGTAGCTCTAGACGAAAACGGGAGACCCATCATTTTGTACTCTTATGATCATCACACATCGACAAAATATGAAACTAGCCGGTCGCCCTATAGACTAGATTATAATAGTTCCTTAGCTTTGGTCGGGAAGTACAAAACACATATTCAGTACCATCAAAGACACGATCTGCTGGCCTCCAGAACGCTACATTCTAAAGCAGCGCCATCGAAAATATATGTTCAATCAATCCAAAAAATATTATAGAGCCTGTAAGAAAATAACGAGTGATCAAAAAGTTTTCAGGTGTGGTCAGGTCTGGTCAAGTCAGGTCAGGTCATGAAAATATTTGTCATGTCTTTGATTAAACTGTAAAAGTCATGCATAACTTTTTTTTATTGACATGAAAGGTTATTCATGACTTTTATAGTTTAATCAAAGTCATCACAAACATATATTTCAATGGTCAACTCTAATCTGAAAAATTTTGATCACTCTGAAACAAACTATCAAAGCTGCAATATTGTTACGTTTTCATATCATTCTTTCAGGTTCAGTGAAGGAATTATATTATGTTTTAAATATTATTTTTCTGTAACTGGGTTTTTTAAACCCGTAGAAAATTATTGTCAATTATTATTATTACCAGCAATTTGAGACGTTCCGAAGTATGTTATAGTGTAACACTTAAGTAAAAACATCCACAAGTTTTAGTTATAACGTGATAAACAAAAGGATGAAGCCTAACTAAGTTTGTATGTGACTTAAGAATATGAGAAGCACTTTTGCTCTGAGTATTTGCCGAATTATCCTGTAAAGTAGGGACAGTCATAAAGGCCGCGAAGTATCTTATAAAGAAAAATGACAGAATGTTGAGTACGTCTTAACTGCAAATATGGCACACTGGCCTTTTGTAAAAAGAGTTCCTGAGGAAATCCTCTAGCCGGATACGACCCATCAATGGTATAAGTGAGTGATTTAAGAAATCGGCGCTGTATTGTCTCTAATGCCGTAGTGTCAATATTATACATTGGGGACCAAACAAGGGAAGCATATTCAAGCTTTGACCTGACATATGTGGTAAAAAGGACTTTTAAAGTATTTGGGTCAGAGAATTCTCGACAGCTGCGAATGACAAAACTTAGTGTCTTGTAGGCCGAATCTACTATCTGATTTACGTGGTAATTGAAAGAAAGTTTTGGGTCAAAGAAAACGCCCAGGTCGTAAATAACATCAGGTTTAACAACAACGACGCCGCGTATGTGGTAGTCATAGTATATAGTTTTACTTTTGCGGGTGAATGACATCACTTCACATTTGTCAGAACTGAGACAAAAGTTGTTTTCAGAGCACCAGTTATCCACAGCGTCTAAGTTTCTTTGTAATTTCAACGAGTCAGCAGTCGAATTGATTATACTATAGATCTTAAGATCATCTGCAAACAGGAGATAAGAAACGTCGAGAACATCTGCAACATCATCAATAAAGATGTTAAGTTAAAGAGCAGGGGACCCAATATGGCTCCCTGAGGGACACCGGTCTCCTGTTTGAAACTTTTGGATTTGCAACCTCTGATATAGACAAATGAGTACCTATAATGTAAATATGACCTAAGTAACTTGCTTATAGTGTCTGAAAAACCGAAATGTTCCAGTTTGCTCAACAAGAGGCTATGATCGATACGGTCGAACGCTTTTGAAAAGTCGGTATAGATAACGTCAAGCTGCTTACAGGTATCTATTGGCTCGCAAAGGGTCTAAGTTATTGAAACTAAATTAGTTTCAGTTGATCGTCCTTTCATGAACCCATGCTGATGTTGACTCCATGCTTGCATTGTATGGCGGTAAAGAGCAACGGGGAATTTTTCAAATTCGTTTTATTACCTTTTTTATATACAGGACAGACCTGAGAAAACTTCCATTGATTGGAAAATGCATTGGTTTTTAGGATTAAATTATATATAATGCATAGCGGCTGGCAAAAGAAATACATGCAATCCCTGATAATAAAGACAGATCAGGTCCACATGTCATAGTAGGTTTTAACTCTTTAATAGCGATTAAAACTTCCGATTCGGACACAGACTTGATGTAAAGGGTATTTCTGATCAAATTTGGGGAGGAATAGATTCGCTGCCCATTGCTCGGAGTGAAAGATTTTGAAAAGTAGTCAGCGAAACCGTCAACAATAGCCTGTGGTTTATTAAGTTCAGAGCCATCGTAAATCATGTCAGAAGGAATCGTACCCGAGTCAGTTTTTGATTTTATAAGAGACCAAAATTTCTTAGGGTCTGATTTTAGATTAATATTGGTGATATTTACATAGGATTAAGGAGCATGATATATTTCTGATTTAGTATGGGCCCGTAAAGATTTAAATAAGTCATGATCATCTCTTGATCCCGTCGTAATATAACATTTCCAAACATTATGTTTCCACTTTAAATTCTTGATTATACTTCCATTGAACCACGGAGGGTATTGATATTTGGTAGCTTTCTTCTTAGGCACGTACATTTCAAAGACACGATTCAAGGTTTTATATATAATGGAGACAGCATCATTTATGTCAGAACATTGCGAAAGATAAGCCCATTAATATCAGACAGAGCAACATATAAAAGGTGGAAATTACTATTGCGAAAGTTGTATTTTGTATCAATGGCACTGAGAGATGTTTTACATTCACTTCTAAGAATAAAGAACTCTATGTGGAGGGCAGGATGATAATCATCTTCTGCAACAAGCGGAACTGGCGATCTACTAACGAAACAATTAAGATTTCTGTTGGTGAAGACAAAATCCAAGAGTCCATCTTTGGAGTTCAATATTTTATTACATTTCTGAAAATCAAAGAAGTTCATAAATTGTTTTATTAGAACGCATCGGGAGGAAGATATACTGTTGAAGGAAAAAAGAACAAATTCTGAGACATTAAAGTCACCCATTACGAGAATATTGAAGTTATATGAAAGATCTAATGACAGTAGCCAATCAAAAAATATGTTCACAGTGTTTAAGTCACAAGATGGTGGTATATAGTTAACAACTATATACGTGGTTCTCAGATTATTGGTAGATATTTTATCAAGCACAACATCGATAAAAGGTGCAACTTTACTTATCGCAGTAGTGTCTACAAGTGTCGCATCGACGTTGCTATCAATTGCTAATAAAACTCCACCACCCCTTTTACGTCCCGTAGCCAAATAGTCCCTATCTTTACGAAAAACAATAAACAAAGCTAAATTAAACAATTCGGCGTCATAAATTCCTTTATGTAACCATGTTTCAGACAGAGCAATCACCTTATAATTAGAGTCTAAAGCACATGCCAAGTAAAAATCTTTTGATTTAGTACACAAACCTCGAACATTTTGATTCTAGCACAGCACTGAAGAACGATTATCTGAAACAGAGCTAGGATCAATAGGCAAATAATTTGACTGCTATATGGAGATACCAAAAACATCCAGTTTGACAAAAGTAAACTTGGTCACAATATTTAGCGAATTTATTTAAATCTAAATTTATAATAACAAATTCACCTTGGACGACGTGAATACGTAAAACCCAACAACAATTAATTTTTGATAAGTTTATTTAAAAAATAGGAACACCTAAGATCCATAAAACAGGTTAAGTAAAAGTGAATTCTAGAGTACACAAAAATATAAAAGTAAACAAATAAACAAACAAAATTAAGCGAAATTTATAAGTAAATTAAATTATCAAAAATTAGGTTTAAATGTAGAAAGAGAAGCAATAATTTGTTGGTTTTGTGCACATTAATATTTATTGTCACAACTAGTATGACGATTCATTAACTCCGGTTTTGTATGGAGGAACGAGGACAGCACCCATCCCATTTTATTGACTGGTACAATGTACTGTGAACACTTCATTGACCTACAGCAACACAGGTTGAGATAACTTTCGTTATCAAGGTTGTCACATAAAACACGAAGATATAAACAGATCTGTAAAAATTAGTCTACCCGCAAGACCTAATCATTTTGATTATTTGATTACATCACAGCTGGCGTAAATAAACATATACAAAGTTAACCTTTAGCGTTAGTATCTTTATACAAGTAACAAAGCACACATATCGAACAGCTGTTTACCCTAAAAAAATGGTTCAATTCATCGTAAGCTTCCAAATTTAAAGTTAACATGAATCGTTTTGACAATGTTTATGAAAATATTATAGAAAAAGCAATTAAATAGTGCCATCCCAAAAACCACAATATCAATCAATAGCAGTATTTGCTGAGTTAGCAATCCTCCTGAGAGACTGGGGATTCTATATGAAAAAGGCTTATAAAGAGTATGTCATCAAAACCATGTAGAACTCTACCGCGAAAATGTTGCAAGAAAAATATTTCTGTGAATATGGTGTCGTTTTTTATTCTTTAAATTTAATACCAAATTTAAGATACCAGCAGGGATTCCCCGTCAATTCATCAGTAACTTAGAATAATACTTTAACAATTCCTTTCAGTTCCTGTTCAAGTGCTAAAATAATTTATAGTAGGTAATTGTATTTTCAATAATTGTTCTTTTTAATTGTTAAAAATATTTATTTTGTGTTTAATTAAAAAAATGTTTTGAATTTTGCATTTTTCACGTCTATTGTCATGAAATTAGCTCACTGAAATACTTACTCTCGAGCTATTAATTTCTAGTCGGATAAATTTCTATTTTTCGTTAAAAATAAAAGTTTATCCGACTAAATGAGTAACTTTTGTGTAATTAGTAATTACAGTCAAATAAAATTCTGTATGATGGAATGTCGACGGCACATATGTTATTTTATTAAGTAGTAAAACGCACTGTCAACGCTTCACTGACCTACGGTACCACACTTTGAGATACCTTATAAAATGCTATCGGAGAAAATGGGTAGACATAAACGAATATCCAAAAATAAGTCTACGCGCAAGACCTAACCATATTGATTACATCATGGCTGATGTAAATAAACAGACACAAAGTTAACCTTCAGCGTTAGTCTCTCTATACAAATACCAGAACACACATCGAGCGCTATTCGTTTACTTTACTTCGCATAAATTCGCAGCACGGCAACAATCTGGGTAATGGGTTTGTTACATCGCAAGCTCCCAACTGTTAAATAAGTAACAAAACACAGTAAGTAACGAACACATTACTGTTTATTTCCTATAATTATATTATCTGCATAGACCCGAAATGGTTTTGTTTAACTGTGGTTGCTGTAACATTGTGGCTGCATTAATAACACTGGTCGTCGTCGTAGTTGCGTACTTCAAATGGAGTTTCCAGTATTGGAAACGTCGAAACCTCCCCAACTTAAAACCCACAATTCCCTGGGGAACATCCACTGATCCCTTTAAACCAGATGTTTATGTCGGCTTACAAGTAAAGCGCCTATATGACGAAATGAAAGTCAAAGGATGGAAACATGGCGGACTTTTCTCCATTACAAGTCCCACATACCTAGTGGTTGATTTAGACTACCTGAAAAATATTATGGCAAAAGATTTTCAGTACTTTGTCGACCGTGGATTCTACTATAACGAAAAAGACGATCCCCTTAGTGCCCATCTTTTTGCAATAGGTGGTCAAAAATGGAGAAATTTGAGGACTAAATTTACACCAACTTTTACTTCTGGAAAGATGAAGATGATGTTCCAGACACTAGTAGATTGCCTACCCAACCTTCTCGGAAAAATTGAATCAGGTTGTGACACTCAAACACCTATTGACATCAAGGAAGTTCTAGGATGTTTTACTACGGATGTTATTGGTTCTTGTGCTTTTGGTTTGGATTGTAACACATTTAAAGAAGAGAACTCGCCTTTTAGAGAATACGGTCGTAAAGCTCTCCAAGTACAACCATTGCTGATGTTACGACTAGTGTTTGCTATGCTTTGTCCCAATGTGGCCAAACGTTTAGGAGTAACAGCAGTACCTAAAGACGTATCAGGGTTCTTTATGAAAGTAGTCAAAGACACGATTCACTATAGAGAAACCAACAAAGTCAGTCGTAACGACTTCTTACAAATACTCATAGATTTAAAAAATCAAGACAGTAACGCTTTAACAATCGAAGAAGCTGCAGCTCAATGTTTCGTCTTCTTTTTAGGTGGATTTGAAACGTCTTCCACCGTTATGACTTTTGCACTTTACGAATTAGCACGAAATCCTCACTTACAAGAAAAAGTGAGACATGAAATTAACACCGTTTTGGATAAACATGATGGCAAAATTACATACGAAGCTATTCAAGAGATGAAATACATGGACCAAGTGATCAACGAGGCCTTAAGAATGTATCCTCCACTTTCAATTCTTACTAGAAAATGTGTCAAAAACTATAAAGTTCCAGATGAAGATGTTATTATCGAAGAAGGTGTCCTCGTTATAATACCAGTCTTAGCTATCCACTACGACGAGAACTACTACCCTGAGCCTGAGAAATTTGATCCGGAACGATTTTGTGACGACAACAAGAAGGCGAGGCACCAGTATGCGCATCTTCCCTTTGGTGAAGGTCCTAGGCTTTGTATAGGTAAAGAACGAATAAAATGTGTTAGTTATGCTGACGAAATTTTGATGTTGCAGGTGTACGTTTTGGAATGATGCAGACAAAAGTTGGATTAACGACTCTTCTAAAACACTATAGGTTTACAGTTAACGGGAAAACTCAAGAGCCATTGAAAATGAAAGTAGACTCGATGATAACAGCTGCTGAAGGTGAAATTTGGTTGAATGCCGAGAAAGTAAAAATTGGAGAAGAAATTATCGCGTCGGAATGAACAGTATTTAAAACAAGAAAGTCGAAGACACCCTTATTCTGCTAACAAGTAAATGTTGCTAAATCCATTTGTTGTAGCTTATGTCTATAGTAACGATGAGCCTTTGAAATGTTGCCTTATGTGTACGATTGTAAAAACCGTGGCACTAACCAAAGTTCTTTCAGAAAATTTTCAATTTATATATATGACAAATATTTTTATAAACTAACTATAAGTTACCAACTACTTAATATGTGTTTAAAAACAGTACAGTCATGAGAAATCTTTTGCAAATGGCATGCATCTGCTTCTCTTCAGAAATTATTTGCAGATGATGTTTAGACAAAATTAAACAATTTGTATACTGTGCTCATACTTTTTTTTTTATTTAGGATGCAAATGTCTAACAGTTTTGCAAGTATATTATCTTTTGTGTAGTGTTTACATTTTTTATAACAGTATTTTAATCTTGAATTTCTTGTTGCATATGTTTTAACTTACAACAAATTCAGTTTTATGAGGCGACCGAGAAAAATTTCCCGCTCTCAGTTACCTTTGGCTAAAACAAGTAAATTTTTGCTGCTATAAATTTAAGGCCCGAATTATATGCAAAGTGTATATAACTTCTGTTTTTAAACAATAGGCTTTAAAAGAATGCATTTTTTTTCAGTCTTACTGCATATTCATGCATATTTTTGTAAAATTTTCAAATTGTACCTTTATTCACCAAATGTCGCGATTTTCGGTAGAATCTTAACCTGGAAAAACCAGTAGTAAAGACATCCTAATTCAAAGTGAGACATTCTGTTTATTGGTACAAGATTGAATATACCCGTTTCATTCTTAAATTTGTTAGTCCTTATTTTAGTATTGATAAGTGAACTTCGAGTCCAAGATACACAAAGCTTCTGCAAATGTGCACGGTTGGATAAAAAGTATCCCGAGCTAGTGTTAGATGAAAATTCTCAATCTGTTATTTGTAGAGTGTGCTGTAAAAAGGTAAGTAAGTTATCCAAATTTTTATCATTGCTATATTTTTGAATTTGTCACATTTATTTTTATTAGTTCCAATTTCAAACAGTTGTTTTAATTTATTAATATAAGTATTATTGCTTTCAATTAAACGCGGGAAGTAAAACATGCACAGTACTTATGAATTAATTTTATCATTCAGGTCGCCTGTGAAAATAAGTTTTCGATAATTCATATTGGGGCAAGTTCATAAAAGTAAGCTGAAGAATTCTATTAATGTGAAATCACAAAGTCTGCTCGCCGAATCTTTCTCCAACACCCATAAGATGACAGATCAACAAAAATATTATTTCGAATTGTGTGAAGCATTCCTCAGTGTCGATATTGCTTTATCAAAACTGAATAACCCCAAGCGATGATCATTTATTAAAAAGCATACCATGAAGTCAGCTCCCGATGAGAGTATCTTAAGAAAAAATTAAGTGGACAAATTGTTTCAAAAAAACAAAGCAGGCTGGCTAATCGTCAAATTATAGGCGATAATCTAATTTATTTTCATGTCGATCAAACAACTGATTCATGTGGACGTTATATCACAAATTTGTTGATTGGAACTTTGACCAGTGAAAAATTTACCAGTTCGTATTTGATACGCAAAAAAGCTTTTGACAAGACAAATAATTCCAGTTGAAAAAAGCATATTAATATCAGCTGCTACATAACATACATGTGTAAAACTTCGTCCAACCTAAAAGTATTTTTTCCTCGCTTAATCTATGTTACATGGTGTAAATAGAGTGGCTGAGGAAATCAGAAATTTATTTCCAATAGTAAATGATTTAGTCGATATTGTTAAAAAACGTTTTCGTAAAACACCTTTGAGAGTACAATTTTATCGCACTACATTGCCCAGTTTACCATTACTTGCACAACCTGTTGTAACTAGGTGAGATTCTACTCGATCCACAGTTTGTATACTGAAGGTGATGAAAGAACTGAGATCTAAAGATGTTAAGGCTTAGGGAATAGTCAGTAAGGTCTACCTTACATGACCAATTACATTTAAATAAAGTGGGTTGGTATCTGTCGTCAACTTTTAACTTATTCTGTACTGTTACGAAATAAACTCATACGCCACCCCGGTACGACGCCAATGGGTTTTTAGTATGTTCGGCGCGGTGACTCATCATCGGTGACGGCGGCGCCCGGATAAAGAAAAGCGGTCCACCGGAAGTGCGAGAAGTCTGAATGGTGGACTTTAGAACAACCTTGAAGGCGGCATTCACGATCTTTCAAGAAGAAGAGTATGGCTGTTTAAATAGGGACCACTCGTGAACAAGCTGGTCAAGCTCAGTCAAGGAGAGAATAATTAGAGTGTAGTTAAACCCATTCCTGTCGAGTCGGAATTATGCTGTACATAATCGCTCCATAGTTAGTCGTACAAATTAGTACTGCTGAGAAATACATTGCTGAGCTTTACCCACGCCGATTTTAAACACTCGTAAAACGTAACATTACAATGGGTGAAAGCTGTGTTCATCAATATAAGTCGGAGACAAAACATTTACAAGTTACGAACGAAAGCTATGTTGCTCCAACGTGAAAATGCATCGTTTCACACTTGTCTCGAAGCGTCTGAAAAAGCGTCTCAATTAGGGTGCCAAATATTGCCGCATACTCCCCCGATTTGGAACCCTCTGATTTCTATTTATTCAACAATTTGAGGAGTATAAGTTTCGTAGCCATGTAGTACTAGGTCTTATCACCGTTTTGTATACTTGTTTCTTCGTCTGTCGTATTACATTTTTGCTTCTAAGGAACTTGTTTAGTCTTCCTAAGTTCATACTGCCTTTAATAATGCATTCTTCTATCTCTTCTTTCATTTCGCTCTTATTTGTGATTACTACTCCTCGCTTATTGTTCTCGTTACGAACGTTAAGTCATCTGCAAATGCTAGATTCTGGTGTCTTTTATCATACATATATGGTGCCTGATCTATGGATCCGCTTCTTCTAATTATTACCTCCAGTGCTAGATTGAAGAGTGGTTGACATGGGGTCTCCTTGTTGTAAACCGGGGGTTACTTAGAATGGCTGGGATAGTATTCCATTACTTCTTACACGGTTTCTTGTGTTTTCTATCGTCATTTCAATAAGTCTAATCATCTTATTTGGTATTTCTAGCTTTTGTATGGCTGTCAGTAATTCTTTCCTATTGATTGTATCATAGGCTTTCTTGTAGGTACATGTTAATCTCTTGCTCGTAATGCACTGCTTGGAGTTCTTTTAGTATGAACATTTGATCAATGGTTGACCTGTTCTTTCTAAATCCTGCCTGGTATTCTCCTACAGCTGATTCCTTCTATTTATGCATGTAGCTAGTATCTTGTAGGTTACGTCTAGTAGGGCTATTCCGCCGTAATTTTCGCATTTTGTGTTGTCACCTTTCTTTAACAGCGGGCACAGTACCGCTTGTTCCCATTGTTCCGGTATTTTTTTGCTTTCCCAACATTCTACTATCAGTCGCCGTATTTCTTGTACTAATTCTTCTCCTCCATACTTCAACATCTCAGGTCTTATTCCATTGCTGCCTGGAGTTTTGTTGTTCTTCATTTGCTTTAGTATTTTTCGGATTTCTTGTACAACTGGCTCGCTTATTTCGTTCTGGTGTTTTCGCTATCGTTATTGAATTCGCTTATGTATTGTCTGTGTTCTGTTCGTTTAATAGTTCTTCGAAGTATTCTGCCAATGGTTTTACACTTGCTTGCCCGTCTCCTATTAAATTTCCTTCTTTATCTTCGCAATAGATTACTTTTGGTTGATAACCTTTCCTCTCTCGTTTGACATCTTGGTTCTTACAGAAGTTTTCTTAAATCTGTCTTATCTGTCTATGTTCGTACGTTTTTTATTTCTGCATATTTTCTTGTAATTTCTTCTTTCTTGTTGGTACTGCTTTTGATGTTCTTCTTTTCTTGTTCTCATGTACGTCTCTCTTGCTTTTCTTCCACTTTCTAATGCTGTTTTACATTCGTCATTAAACCATTTGGCTTTGTTCGTGTGCCTTGTCTTGAATCCTATCACGTCTTTTGTGGTAGTCCATATATTGTTTTGTAGCATTTCCCATTTTTCTTCTAGCGAGTTTGTCTTTCTGTTTTTCTTTATGCTGTCTGTAAGTTTTTGTACGTACTGTTGTTGTATGGCCTCTTCTTTGAATTTTCTTAAATCTATGTCTCGTTGTGCCCTGTAACTCGCTTTTAACTAGTGTACTCACCGTATGTCTGAATGTTCCGGAGTTTGTTTCACTTTCCCAATTCTAGGACTATAATAATTTTCCTTATACTCGTAGACTATAAAGAAAATCATCACTCAAATATGTAGTTGCAAGTAAAGTCAATCAAAATTTCAGTTTTTATTAAACTTTGTACAAACGTTATTTATGAATATTTAAAACAAAATTACAGCAGTTAGAAACATGATGAACCATTAGACGCAGACCATTGTACAGAAAATGTTGCCTACATTTTCTGATACTATTTGAAACTGTTTTCTGTTTTCCACATTCTGAATTTGCTTACTTTTTTCTCCAAGAATTGCTGAGAAAATGTTTCTTTTATGTGCATTTGATCTTTCTATGTATCTTACTGCAACGCTATGTTTTTCCAACCCCCGTGACGTTTTAACTGTGAGGAGATCTGCACCACAATCTGATAATATGGTGGCAGAAAACCTCCTGAAACAATAACCAGTATATTCCTCTGGATGAGCAAAAGTTGCATTAGTTTTCCGCACATTTCTAATAGGCTTCCGCATATTTTCAAACGTATCAGATCATATTCGGCTGTTTGGGGCATTTTTTATTTTGGAATGAGACGAAAAACCTACTGGTTAATACTAGTGGGGCGCAATGCAATGTATTTTTGTACAAGTTGTGCCACATTTAGGCCTAGAATATTTCCAGATGTGACAAAAAAATTTTCGTGCAATTTTCGTTTTTGTGTTCAGTAATAATGCTCGAAAGACTTGGACTTCGTCAGTTATATTTTCTGTAAGTAAACTGTCAAATTCTTCCATTCTGTAGGCACTTTCAGTTTCACTTATAAGTAAAACCGACTTTTTGCTGGTTATAATTCATGTATTCATTCATCGTTAATGGCCAGTGCGATTATTAGTGGAAGAAATAAATGGTGGTCCTGAGAAGGACCTGGTAATGCTTGATGGTGATCCACTTTTTATTCTCACGGATGTTTGGTCCTTGCCACAACGATCCCACATTGTTTATTGGAACAAAAATAACAGCAACTTAGAATGCTACTACCTTTTTACGATAAATGTCGAAAACCTTGTCCTTGACTAACAATACAGACTTCAACACGTCGCAACATGTTTGCACGGATACGTAAAACTCCAGGAGTTCCACAAACTGCAGCCACTTCCACTCGTTGTTGAAGCTCTTCCATACTTTCTGGACACTGTTGATTTCCATAAACTAACTGTTTCATCCAACCCCACAGACACAAATCAAACGGAATGAGATCGAGTAAAGGCGGGAGCCAAGCTACTGAGGCGTTTCTACCGACCCACTGGTTAGGAAAATGGTTATTTAACCATTCAGTTATACTATCCTCAAACGTATTTGGCGTTTATGACTTCACACCAATTTGACTCCCATTATAATTCAATAGGCCGTCACAACCGGAAGTCTTAAACCCGCTCACTGATACCTACCTGAAAAGACCTTTTCTGGTAAAAGCACAGGGCAGGACTGAGTTTTGCATTTACCGACAACTGCGCCTTTCGAGTTTTTTATTTTAAGTAAAAACAAAGTAACTTTGTACTCAATCATTTTTTATTACAGCACAACTATTTACTTATTAACTACTACTGCTTATTTATTGATCGAAATAGTCACTGTCATCATCACTCGACTCTTCTAACTTAATAATTAACGGTGTTATCAACCGTGCCCTGTACTGGTCTTCTTCTTTTGTGGAATGTCGTACACAATTGGCCCACATTTCGGCAGTTATTTTGGAAGCTTCTTCCCTAATTATGTCAATTGTTGCACTACTAAATTTTGGTGCCGTATTATTCCTTCTTATATTATTTTTCATTTGCGACCAGATTAGTTCGATGGGGTTAAATATACAATGGTACGGCGGAAGTCTAATCACCCTAAATCCACGATCTCGCGCCATAGCATCTATTTTACATTGTTTCTCAAATTTTCGAGTGTGTAACACTTCTAATAATTGTGTCAAATTCGCTCCGAAGCCAGGTAGGTACAAGCATTAAGGATTATATTGTTTGAGAAGTATTTCTTGGAAGTGGTTAACGACTTAAATCCGGTCCCTTATTATTTTCGGAAATTCCGTTATTTAAGTGTATTAAAAGTATGTTTGAGACGTTATCCTGTTACTTTTCAACTTGAGTTTGCTTTGAAAGCATTTAAAACAGTACACGTGTGTCAATATGTCGAAGATAACTCAAATTAATTTATAGATTAAATCTTTTCCTGAATTTATTCTTCAAGAAGGCACTGTGTTTTGTAGCTTCTGCTACAAACCGCATTTCTACTTACAAATATATGTTTTTGGGATCACCGGCAAAATTTTTTGCTACAATATTTCGAAAAGTATTTAAAAATAAATTGTTACAAAAATACTAATTAAATGGCCTGTTATTATTTTTTTTTATTTATTTGTCACTATTTAATGTAAGACAATAATTTTTAAAAATTTTAACAAACAAAATTACTCTGAGTCCGGTCCTTCGCGTCTCGACCGTCCCTGGCACGTGGCATGGTTTACATTTACTAAGTTTTATGAAGGGTCGGCTGTAAAGTACTTTAAACGTCAAAGCCATAAACGCCAAATATCTTTGAGGATAGTATACTAACCTAGCAAAATGTAGTGGTGCTTTATCATACAAGTATACTATCCTCAAACATATTTGGCGTTTATGACTTCACACCAATTTGACTCCCATTATAATTCAATAGGCCATCACAACCGGATGTCTTAAACCCGCTCAGCGATACCTAAGACCTTTTCGACGTGCCAGGGACGGTCGAGACGCGAAGGACCGGACTCAGAGTAATTTTGTTTGTTAAAATTTTCAAATTTCAAAATTTCCTTACAGAACATGATTTATACTTTGAAGAAAATTACACAAAGACACAATTATTAGAAGTGTTACACACTCGAAAATTTGAGAAACAATATAAAATAGATGCTATGGCGCGAGATCGTGGATTTAGGGTGATTAGACTTCCGCCGTACCATTGTATATTTAACCCCATCGAACTAATCTGGTCGCAAATGAAAAATAATATAAGAAGGAATAATACGGCACCAAAATTTAGTAGTGCAACAATTGACATAATTAGGGAAGAAGCTTCCAAAATAACTGCCGAAATGTGGGCCAATTGTGTACGACATTCCACAAAAGAAGAAGACCAGTACAGGGCACGGTTGATAACACCGTTAATTATTAAGTTAGAAGAGTCGAGTGATGATGACAGTGACTATTTCGATCAATAAATAAGCAGTAGTAGTTAATAAGTAAATAGTTGTGCTGTAATAAAAAATGATTGAGTACAAAGTTACTTTGTTTTTACTTAAAATAAAAAACTCGAAAGGCGCAGTTGTCGGTAAATGCAAAACTCAGTCCTGCCCTGTGCTTTTACCAGAAAAGGTCTTTTCAGGTAGGTATCGGTGAGCGTGTTTAAGACATCCGGTTGTGACGGCCTATTGAATTATAATGGGAGTCAAATTGGTGTGAACTCATAAACGCCAAATATGTTTGAGGATAGTATACCATATGCGAACTCGTTCACCTAGAGAATAGAAGTTATGGTAGGTCAAGAAACACTACCAGTGGCGTACATAACACTTTATATTTAACGTCTAGACATTTGTACCACTTATGAACGTAAACTTTACACGATGCAATAAATGTTATTGTGAGCAGTTCCCAATTTTTTTATTGCACACATTTCGAAATCTCCCTGTATAAAAACAATCTAGCATAATCAAAACACAACAGATTAACACAATTTACGTATAACGTCGTTGGTCACATCATTAAATGTAATATTATTATTACTATTATTATCATCTTCAGTTAAATAGATTAGCCGGATAAACCCAATTTTTACTTAAAAAATTCTGTAGTCTTCAACAGTTTTTGTTTCTTTTTCTCCATTTTTTTCACGTTCTTTGCGCTTTTCTGCACCAGATTTATGTTTATAATAAGTACTCACTTTATAATAATTATAATTTCCTTTTATATTTTCATGGACTTCAATATTACTAAAGATGACTCTTTTACCATTTTGTGACTATAAAAACAACAACAACGTACGTATAAGTCCCTAAATATAATTCTCAATGCGCAGGTATTCGGTACACCACAGCTGATGTAAATAACACCACACACAAATGAAATTAACCTTGAACGTTACTCTCTTTACACAATTACAAGATCACCCACCGTTGTGGATGTGCTCGTTAGCAAGTGGCCATTCAACCGTACTTATGTTTTAAATAAAAAAAACTAATACTCCCGTATGTTTCTGCATGAGGTGCCAGTGGTACTGCAAATTCCCTATAAATAACCAAATACTAAAAAACGTAGTAAGTAAAGAATCACATCATTATTCACTATAATTCATTGCTTGTTATCAATGCAGAATCTGAAATGGCCCTCGTTAGCTGCGGCTTCTGTAATTTTCTGGCCGCAGTAACAACACTGACGATCATCATAATCACATACTATAAATGGAGCTTCCAGTACTGGCGACGCCGAAACATACCCTATTTAAAGCCTAAAATTCCCTGGGGAACATCATCCAATCCACTGAAACCAAAAGAATTCATCGGTTTGCGTCTGAAGCGTCAATATGATGCAATGAAAGCCAGAGGGTGGAAACACGGAGGACTTTTCTCCCTCACGCGTCCCATGTATCTAGTGCTTGATTTGGACTACGTCAAAAATATTTTGGCGAAGGATTTTCAGTACTTTCTTAATCGTGGATTCTATTACAATGAAAAAGATGATCCCCTAAGTGCCCACCTCTTCGCCATAGGTGGACAAAAATGGAGAAACTTGAGGACCAAACTAACACCAACTTTCACGTCTGGGAAGATGAAGATGATGTTTCAAACGCTGGTAGACACTGTACCGAATCTTATAAAAACAATTGAGTCAGATTGTGCTTCACAAACACCTATTGACATCAAAGAAGTTCTAGGATGTTTTACTACCGATGTTATTGGTTCTTGTGCTTTTGGTTTGGATTGTAACACGTTTAAAGAAGAGAATTCGCCGTTCAGAGAATATGGCCGTAAAGCTCTGCTTATGTCGCCATTACTAATGTTAAAATTAATATTTGGTATGCGTTTTCCTAACGTGGCTAAAAGTTTAGGAGTAACGACAGTACCTAAAAATGTGTCAGCTTTTTTCATGAAAGTAGTCAAAGATACGATCGACTACAGAGAAGCGAACAAAGTCACTCGTAAAGATTTCATGCAGATACTTATAGACTTAAAAAATCAAACCAGTGATGCTTTAACAGCTGAAGAAGTCGCAGCTCAGTGTTACGTATTCTTTTTAGCTGGCTTTGAAACATCTTCCACTGTTATGACTTTTACACTTTACGAATTAGCACGAAATCCCCATTTACAAGAAAAATTGAGACATGAAATTAACACCGTTTTGGAAAAACATGATACCAAAATCACGTATGAAGCTATTCAAGAGATGAAATATATGGAGCAAGTGATTAACGAAGCTTTAAGAATGTACCCTCCACTTTCCCTTCTTAACAGAAAATGCCTCAAAGACTATAAAGTTCCTGATGAAGATGTTATTATCGAAGAAGGTATGTCTGTTACAATATCGGTCCTGGCCATACACTACGACAGGGAGTACTACCCGGAGCCTGAGAAATTCGATCCTGAACGATTCAGTGAAGAAAACAAGAAATCGAGACATCCCTATGCTCATATTCCTTTTGGTGAAGGTCCTAGAAATTGTATAGGTAAACAAATGAAATACTGTGTTGTGTTGGTTGAATTTTGAAATTGTAGGTATGCGGTTTGGTTTGATGCAAACCAAGGTTGGGTTAGCAACTCTGTTAAGACACTATAAGTTTACGGTTAACGAGAAAACTCTGGAACCGTTGAAAATGAAAGTAAACACGATTATAACTTCTGCGGAAGGTGAAATTTGGTTGAGTGCTGAGAAAATATAAATTTCTGAAGAAATACGAAATACTGAAGGGAACAATATTATTTACAACTGTATTTTCTACATGTTGTTGATACATAAACTTTGAGAGTGATAAGTTTAATGAGCATTAGCTTATCTTTATAGTATATAAAGCTGTTATAAGTAAGTACTAAAAATTTCTCAGACGGAAGCTTTAAATACAATTGAAACAGATATTTTTGTAAAAGGGGATTATAATGCTAGTTGCATTACATAATTATAACAAAATTATATAGCACTCTTATATAATATCATTGTTTATAATATTTTTACCTTGTTATAATGCACTGTGTTACAGTGTTAAGTAAATAATTACTAGAGAGCGGATTTATAAACACAAAAAAATTAAGAATAAGCGCTTAAATAAGCACATCATTTTCAATAAAAAAGTTTTATTTTAAGCCAAGAAGCATTAAAAACATAATCTATATTAATAAAAATGAATCGCCGAAATGTATGTACGCTCATAACTTCAGAACGACTGCACCGAATTCGACGATTCTTTTTTTTACATGTACCTTATTGTCAGGACAAGGTTTATATGTAAGAAAATTTATAAAAAATAAGACGGCTAAAAGATAAAAAAAAAATTAAAACTTTTGCATGGGAATCACCACTTCGAATGAATTTGAATAGTTGGCGTTCCTGACGGACCTGTCGCCTAACTGACGTGTTATACAAAACTATTTCTTCCGTGCGATTGTGAAAAAAGTATTATTGCATTTCAAATCGTTCTTTGTTTTTTCGTAAAAAAAAACGTCGTTTATTTTAAGAAAAGTCTTAGTTAAAGTGAATTTAGTTACACATTGCGAAAGTGTCTTATTAATTTTGATCTGCCATTCTATTTACCTATGTTCACTTTGTTGGTTTCGACAAAACTTCAAACTTTACCGTTATTCGAGGATTTAATTTGAAGTTTTCAATATTTTAAAATTCTCAAGACAAAATTTACAGATTTGATTGACTGTGAAAATAATTCTGTGTCGTTTTATGAAGTTCATTACAATGCCGAGAAGACGACAAGCTGACATAAGTCCACGAAGTCAATCAAATGTGCAACGAACTACCTAAGGTGCAAATCGCGATGATTTATTTCAAGGGTAATTCGGATATGGAAGTTGATCAGCGTTGTGCTCATAATCAACATCATAATCAAACATTGAAGCGAGACATTGGACGGTATGAATAAAACTGAGCAGATACTCATATTCGAAGTACGAAGTACCTACTTCATTATTACTCTTATATACCTGAGCATCTACCCGATATACTGTGTATCTCCCCCGACACAAATTGAACATTTACGCGTTTTGTGAGCATTTAATCTAAAAATGAGCATCGGCGTGGCAAATGACTATTTGTCCTTATAAATGATAAATTAAATGTAATATATTTTTTTTTCCTTAAGAATATAGAGTTAACAAAGTTAGTTGAGTTACAAAACTCTCTTTTGCTCCACGTTGGCCACCAACGAGCGATTTTCATGATTTTTGTGAAACTTTGCTGGTTTTGAATTTGAATTTTCTGTCCTCGATAGTTGATGCTCAGCAAGAACCACGGGAAGGTCTGGAGCAGATCTCGCTAGGAAAGGAGAGGGCTAGGAATTGTTAATGAGGGATAGAACGTTATACAGTACAATACAACGGAAATACAATACAGGTACCTACAATCTAGCTACAATACAGAATACACTACAGATACAGATACAATTCAGATACAATACAAATGCAAAGTTAGTACCCAATACACCACTGGAAGAAATTGCACCAAAAATTGAGAATGTTGCAAAATGAAAACCCAAGCAAGCACACCGATGGAACTCGGGACGAAATCTATTGGTCGCAGCGCTCACACGCCCAAGGGAGAACGCAGCCGCATAAATCCAAGGTCGTCTTACCTCATTCTCAAAGAACGATGCAACCCAGCGTCTAAGGGCCAAAAGAACCCCCCCAGGCCAAAGCGTCTGACGACATGGAGAATTCAAACCCGGAACCAAAGAATGCACTGTTGCAAAATTAATACCCAAGCAAGCACACCGATGGAACTCGAAACGAAATCTATAGGTCGCAGCGCTCACACGCCAAAGGGAGAACGCAGCCGCATAGATACAGGGCCGACTGACCTCATCCGTTTAGGATGATGAACCTCATCCGTTTAGGATGATGACCCAGCGTCTAAGGGCCAACGAACCCCCCCAGGCCAGAGCGTCTGACGACATGGAGAATTCAGTCTCGGAACCTAAGAATGCACTGTTGCAAAATTAAAACCCAAGCAAATGCACCGTGAAAACAAAGCATTTGCACCACTGGAGCTAAATTGGCAAGACCCAAGTTAAGTTAGTAACACATACAATATACAGTACAAAATGCTTCAATTACAAAAGTTACAATATACAAATTTCTCCACGTTTGCCAACAAAGAGCGATGACTCTGCTCGCTCGTCGCTGTTGCCCAGCAAGAACCAAACAATACGAGGAGGTCTGGAGTGCGTCTTGCCATTAAAAGAGAGGACTAGGGTTTGATAGCATGGGTGAAGGACACCGTATTTTGTAAATTTGGACGCCGTAGTTTAAAAATGATGCATACGGTATTTTGTGAATTATGAACGCTGCACTTTGTATATTCCAAAGCCGTACTTTATCAGTCCTGAATGCATGTTATTAACAACATATTTCAAAAAAAATCGGGCATTTTTGGAAAAATATCCACTTTTCTTCGTGTTCACAGCACGTAACACAAAACATTTTCGCTAATATTTATTAACAATAAATTAGAAATTCGCGAACACGTGCTACTTTTAAGCCAAAACGGAGCTCCAGTGTTGCTGCTACCATACCGGAATCAAAACTAAACACAGAGGATGGAAAAATTGACCTTTTATCAGGTAGCTCACGTGACAGAGACGTCATCGTACGTCACGATGAGATTGCAAAAATTATTTTTCATATTTTAGATCAGAAACTGTACATTTTCGGGGTTAATTTAACAATGTTTAAACAAACTAATTTGTTTTTGCTAACCTCGTGTTCTTAGGAAGATGGATTTCGGTTTAATTATCATATATTGATTGTTATCATATTTAACATTATGAATTCTATTAATTATGTTTAAATTTTATTTAATTATATCGCAAAAATGTATAGCTTTGACCCACCAACTTCAATCGTTTCGAAAATTTATCCAAAATGTAAACATTGTCGACCAAACGAATCACGGAATCCGATAAATTAAAACTGAAGTCGTACTTACCCTGTTTTCGATCCTTTTCGGAAAAATATTCATTTTCGTCCGTGTTCACAGCATTAACACAACAAATTTTCCTTAATATGTATTAATAATAAAATTGAAATTCGCTAAAACGCTCCACTTTTACGCCAAAATGACGCGACGGTCTTGCGGCCATCCAACAGAAATTAATACTGAACACAAAGGACCGTAAAACGTGACCTTTATACAGGTAGCTCACGTGACATTGACGTCAAGGTACGTCACCATGAGACTGCAAAAATTATTTTTCATATTTTGGCCGGGAAAATGCACATTTTCGGGGAGAATTTAACATTGTTTAAACAAATTGATTTGTTTTTAATAATTTCGGGTTTGTAGGAAAACGAGTTTCGGTTTAATTATCGTATATTGATGCTTATCATATTTAAACACTATAAATGATATTAATTATGTTTAAAATTTATTTATTTATATCGTTAAAATGTATAGCTTTGATCAACCGATTTCAATCGTTTCGAAAATGTCCCCAAAATTTACACAAAGTCGAGTGAACGAATCACGGAATCCGATAAATTGAAACTGAAGTCGTACTTACCCTGTTTTCCGTCTTTTTCGGAAAAATATCCATTTTCGTTCGTGTTCACAGCACTAACACAACATATTTTCCGTAATATGTATTAATAATAAACTAGAAATTCACTAAAATGTTCCACTTTTACGCCAAAATGAAGCGACGATCTTGCCGCCATCAAACAGAAATTAATACTGAACACAAAGGACCGAAAAACGTGACATTTATACAGGTAGCTCAGGTGACAGTGACGTCATCGAACGTCACGATGAGATTGCAAAAATTATTTTTCATATTTTGGCCGGGAAAATGCACATTTTCCGGGATAATTTAACATTATCTGCATCCGAGATCATCAATAAAATTTTATTCGCCGGTACGGCATTTGGCAAAAAGAGTGACGTAAGTCTGTCATTTACAAATCTGGTAATCGTATTGCCATTTGTTTTATCTAACATTTTCAAACTTACTACATACCCTCGACTAGGGAAATTTTCATTTAAGATTCCAACAATTAAACTTTCCACGTATCTTCCACAACTATCGGTTGTTTCATCGACAGCCAACCACTGCTGAAACACTGCTGAAACACTGGGCCTACATAATTTTTTCGGAGAGTCCTTTCAACCGGAATATGTCGATTGCAGTGTTTTTCAAAGAATTCTTGAAGAGGGCCTTTCTCCAATTTTTTTAAAGGTATATTGGACTGGATCTTCATTTTACATAAATCGAAATTAAACTGAAATTGCTCATCTTTTGTGGAAGTAGATGCAATAGATTCATGTATGGTCTGCTATTTAATTTTAGAAACTTCAAACATTTTCTTCCTTTCTACATGAAGAGTCGTTCTGACATGTTGCGTCACGTTATATTTTTTATCACTTTGAATCTAAAACAACGTACATATACAGAATTAACAAAGGAAAATAGATAAAAAAAAATTAGTGGGCTTGCGGTTTTCACACAAGCTCTGCAGAATATTTTGTTGTTTTCTAATTTTAATTCTGGAAAATCCCTTATCCACTCATCCGGCGTCGATTTTACCTTCGGCATTCTTTTAAAATATTAGTAATATTACCAAAAAGAACTCAACATGTAACAAGGGAGAACCACGTATAACACTGTACTACGACAGATGCGATAGACTGATGGTTGTGAAATAAACGGTTCATTTACTTAAAAGTTTCCATTAGAAAAATTTTAAGGTAGGTAGTTGGGTACAATAATCATTTTTTCTAGAAAATCTTCAACGGTCTTGCCGCAAAATGCCGAAAAAGAACATCTGGTTAAAAGCTTCAATTCATTATCAACGGAACTAAGGATTTAAAGTCATAAAATCTATGGAGTATTTTTCCAATCCTATAATAAAATTTTATTACCCAAACGACCGGAACCTATTCACAGAAAGGGTCTTGAGTAAGTGAACTTCAATGGTCAAGTCCAGGTAAAATGCATACGCTACGATACGGCTAAGTCACAAGTATTTGTCATCCCGACAAGGCCGGCATTTCAACAAAATAAGCATTAAAACTCATATTCGTCGAAAAAAGCATTAAATAAGCATATAAGTTTTAATATGCATAAAATTGAAAAAAAGCAAATAAGCATAAAAAAAATGTGTCAAATGACTCCAAATTGTATCATAGTTACAGATATAAAAAAGTTTTGAAGTGCTTACATTTTTCACAAAAAGCATTAAACCTAGAAATCCGCTCTCTAATAATTACAATTATGGTTTTGCTGTTATACCGGCTGTCTGGAAAATGGCGGATTAACTCTTCAGTACGTTATATACAGGGGTTTCGGGAGTCCCAAAAAAATAATAAAAAAATTCTTTATAACGTAGATAACGAAAAAAACGTGGTTTTATAAAAGTAAAATTGGCAACACTGTACACACCTAATGCGTGAATACCTCCGGCTTACTTTTTGGTTTCTTAGTAACGATGCTGACTGAAATCCACCTTCCCTTTATATCAGGCAAACATTGTTGTCAAATGGAATTTTATCAAATTATTACCAAAGCAACACAGCCATATCTTTGTGCATTCTAACGGAAATGGTAATTAAACATGGTCATGGGCGAGGAAAATATTAACTAAAAGTTTTTGTTTAGTTGTTAAACGTAGCAAAAGAACCAATTTTAAAATCATTATAACTCCACCAAAATGTGAGAAGGATTTTTTTTTACTATTTTTCCCAGACTCACCAGTTGATTGTTAAGAGCGTGGCGGAGAGTTAATCCGCCATTTTCCAGACACCCGGTATATCTAACAACTTTATGATGACGCACTTATCGTGATGTTAGACCGCAGTTATACAATAATGCAAGGTATAAAACGTGTTAATACTGGTATATACTTAAAAACCCTTGACAGAAAAATTAACCCTTAAAATGTCTGAACTTAGTTCAAATTCGTTGCGATGGTTAAGGCGCTATTCCCATCTTCGCGCGAACTAAGATGAGTCCCACACCAACTGTGTTAACGGTGTTAACTGTGTTATGTCTTCAGACAAATAAAAAACTTGAAATCGGTTTCTCCCTTTGTATTGGATCGTCATAAATCATGCTTTTTACTTTCTTAGCGTAAGCTAAAGAAATATTGTAATCATTCCACCGGGCGGCTCACTACTTTCATGTTATCTGACGTTTCATGACATCTAGAGTCCGAAAAGATAGGTATCTCGTTTCCGTCTGTCTGTCTGTCCTCTTCCGCCTGCCGTCTGTTTGCGTCTGTGTGGCTTTTCATTAGACAGATAATCTCCGAAACTACCGAACAGATTGTTGTCAAATTTTATATGTACGTTATAGATATCGTGTAGAGGGTAAAACGCTGACCAAAATTTGTCTGGTCATCCTCTCCAATAATAATGTGACGCCATCTCCAACTTTTACAATAGTAAAGGCTATTTAAATTTCATAAAATATCATAACTAGGTACTCCTCTACTTGTTGTTTATGAATCCGTGTTGAATTTTTATCCTAAGCATACAGATTTTTGGAAGAAATTAATTAAAGTATATTGTCTTAAGATCCAAAATACGTATAAAAAGTATTGTTTCCACCGAAAAGGCAAAACTTGTAGAAAACATCAAAAAGTGCAAATTATTAACCAAGCGAACTAGTTTTCATTCATTCATTAATTCATTCTTCCTCGAACAAACTCTTGATAGAGTAATAAACTTATAAATAACTGTAATGTATTCTTTCAAAACAGAAGTATTTTTTAAGCACGACAAAACCACTTTGCGGTGTAAGTCCTTGAACGTAACCTACAACTATGCTGGTGACCTCAGAGCTTAGCCAAATAAATGAATACAAACAAAATTAACCTTGACCGTTGCTTCCCAGCATTACAATTGGTACATAGATTATCACGCCCCGCTTGAGTGAATTATTCATTAAAAAAAAATCTAATACTCTCTTTTAATAGAATTGTGCTTTATCATCTTTTCTATATATGTTATCAGTTTAGATATTTTTGTTTAAATAGCGCCTACGTGATTTTCTGTCAGTGTTATCAACAGCGGTGCAATGAATAACTGACGAAGATAAATAAAAACACAGTAAGTCATAAATGTCATAACATAACAAAATTAATTGCCTCATATTTACCAAACTTTACAGAAACAAATATGTTATGTAACTGTGACTTGAGTCACTTGCTCGCCGTAAGTGCGACACTGATCGCCATAGTGTTTGCATACTTCAAGTGGAGCTTCCAGTACTGGCAACGTCGCAATTTAAACTACCTAAAACCGAAATTCCCTTTTGGGAATGCAGAAAGTCCGCTACGACCCAAGGAGTACATGGGTCTTCGCATAAAGCGCTACTATGACAACATGAAAGCTAAAGGCTGGAAACATGGAGGGCTTTATCTTATCACAAGTCCACGATACATGGTGGTTGATTTAGACTACCTCAAAAACATCATGTCGAAGGATTTTGACCACTTTGTCGACCGCGGGCTTTATTATAACGAAAAAGACGATCCTTTGAGTGCCCACCTTTTTGCACTAAGCGGCCAAAAATGGCGAAAGTTGAGGGCCAAACTTACACCGACTTTTACCTCCGGTAAGATGAAAATGATGTTCCAGACTCTAGTAGACTGTTTACCTAATCTTCTGCAAAAAATCGAAGCAGACTGTGTGCCTAAAGCACCAATTGATATTAAAGAAACTCTAGGATGCTTCACTACGGACATAATTGGCTCTTGTGCTTTTGGTTTAGATTGTAACACGTTTAAAGAGGAGAATTCTCCTTTCAGGGAATATGGTCGGAAGGGTTTGGAGCTGACACCATCGCAGGTTTTCCGACTGGTGCTTTCCACAGTTTGGCCCAATATGTGTAAATTTTTCAGACTAACCCTGACTTCTAAAGACGTATCTGCTTTCTTTTTGAAACTAATCAAAGACACTGTTGACTATAGAGAAACTAACACGGTCACTCGTAACGACTTTTTGCAAATACTCATTGACTTAAAAAACAAATCAAGTGAGGGTTTAAGTTTTGAGGAAATCGCGGCTCAGTGCTTCGTTTTCTTCTTGGCTGGATTTGAAACTTCTTCCACGACCATGACTTTCTTGCTTTATGAGTTAGCACGAAGACCTGATCTACAACAAAAAGTGAGAGATGAAATCAACACTGTTTTAAAAAATCACGACGGGATTGTCACGTATGAAGCTATCCAGGAAATGAAATATATGGACCAAGTGATCAATGAAACGCTCAGAATGTATCCTCCTCTTGCATTTCTCAATAGAGAGTGTGTCAAGGACTATAAAGTACCAGGAGAAGATGTGATTATCGAAAAAGGTACAGCTGTTACGATATCAGTACTGGGAATACATTACGATGAAGAGTACTACCCTGAACCTGAGAAATTCGATCCTGAACGATTTAACGACGAAAATAAGAGATCGAGGCATCAATATGCCCACATTCCATTTGGGGAAGGTCCTAGGATTTGTATAGGTAAGGAAATTATAAAAGATGTGTTAGAGTTACTAATAATGAGTTACAGGTATGCGTTTTGGGTTGATGCAATCGAAGGTTGGGTTAACTGCATTGTTGAGGCAGTATAAGTTTACAGTTAATAAGAAAACCCAAGAACCGTTGAAGATGAAACCAGGCGGCTTTATAATGAGTGTTCAGGGTGAAATTTGGTTGACTGCTGAAAAAATAGAAAATTAGAGATGGACATAACATGTAATGTAATATTTTTCGTCATGCTTAACCTAAGAGTGTGTAAAAAATGTAAATAAAATATGAAGCGTCGTCAACTTGTTAAAAGACCGTATTTTTCACCTTCGTAAATTACTACAACTTTTATAACAAAAAAAATCAGAGACCGAATTTAGTTCACTTTAAATGACATAAAAGATCAAATAAATTTCTATCTACCATAGATCCCAACAGTTATTTGCAATAAACTAACCATGCCTCTTCTTATTTTGTAACCCATCACAGTATAGCACCTTATATAGGTTCACCAACCGGTTTGATGGTCAATTCGTGCACCTACGAAATAAAGGGAGACATCACAAAATAAAAGAATCTTTTTTACCTGAACATGCTCTGGAGTAGACAGCGCATATACAAGACCATCCGCAATATCTTCGGCCTTTAGTATAGGCCTACTCCCAAGAAATTTCCTTCTTTCTTCGCTATATTCTTTGTTAAGAATAGTCATTTCACTGTACGTCAGACCTGGACTAATACTCTAGAAAAAAATCCCTCTTGATATCTTGAATATATAATTACTTAGTTAAAGGTACTCACCGTAACTTTGATTTTGCTCTGAAGATGATTTAACTCCTGACGTAACGTCTCAGTGAGTGCCGAAATCGCATGCTTAGAAGCAGAATACACATTCATTCTTGGTACATTGGGCACAAAATGTCCTGCGATGCTATTCAAATGTATAATATGCCCTTTAATATCCTGAGCCTTCATTATTTTCATAGCTTCCCTTGTGGCAATACACACCCCCAGAACATTAACATCAAAAACACTCTTCCAGACCTCAGTTTTTCCATCTGTAAGCAGACCTTCCTTCAGTAATCCCGCACTGTTAACAAGAACATGAACAGGCCCCAAATTTTGCGAAACCCACTTAAAGGCTGCCAAAATATCTTCTTCTTTCGTTACATCGGCTTTGATAGCATGGAGCTGTCCTTTTTTTCCAGCAAGTTGTTTGGCGTTTTCTTGTATAGCTTCTACTCGACGCGCAATTCCTGCAACCTGTGTTGATGTTACGTAAGTTTTGACTTGATGTAAAAAGACTTACGATTAAGCCGTGGTCTACGAGGGACTTGACGATGGCAGCGCCTATTCCAGAGCTGGCACCAGTTACGATGGCAACTTTGCCAGCCCATCTAGCCATGGAGAGTACCATCGCGTTGAATATAGTTGGTATTGTGTAGTTAAAATGTTAATGGTGATATAAGATTTGTGCGGACTTATCGCACGAGTGTTATTTGTTGCAGTGATAACAGATAAAATGCTAACTGAGAATGTGTGATTTAATTTGTAAAAATTTAATGTGGTTTATCAAAGATGTTTACTTGCTTTATATAATTCTCAGAATCTTAAAATATGATATAAATACAAAAATTCAGGTTGTTGATTACCATGCTAATAATATGGGAGTTTCAGAATATATTTATTTCAATCTTGATAAATATCTGTCAATGAGCACAGCATCATGGAATTATAGTTATGGTTATCCAGTCAAGTACCTACAAGTGCTTTGAAAAAATTTGAACTGAAATGAATGTTTCATTGTTAAATGTTCAGGTCTCAACATTTTTACAAGGACACGTATATCGATTTGGATTGATGCAGTGTACTAGTAACAATAACAGTTTTTGAATCTGATTTAATCAATAAAATAACGAAACAATAAAAGCATTTATAAATAAACATAGCGATAAAATGGTTGTCGAGACTGTACACGTGAGATTGAAACAAAGAAATTAAACTAAACGACATTTTCTAAGAATTATAATAACCGGTTTACAATGCGATGGTTCAAAATTTTTTGTTGCTTCGACTCCACTTATATTTAAATAAAACATTGCATTTAATTTTGATTTTCGATGTTGTAAATCACATTTTTCTACTCCCTCATAGTAATCCATGAATTACGAACTGTCTAGCCTCATAGTAAAACCATAGTTACACCCACTGGCATGTAATGAATGAACAGGCATGTAATATATATATTACGTGCCTGTTTGGGTAGTTTCCATAGCAACTATAAATATTTGCTTTCCCAAAAAAATTTCTTCTGAAAGTGATTCTTCATTATAGATCGTAGAAAAAGTATATGACACAACTCTGGTGGTAAGCTAATTACGAACTCATATTACATCACTCGCTCGCTACGCTCGCTCGTGTATAAACTTCGTTCGTAATTAGCTTCTTACCACCCTCGATATGTAATATACTATTTTGGCCTCGACAACTGTAAAACTGATATTTTTACGTATCATAGATAGCCATGGTATTTTGATTTTTACACATTGAACTGTCATTTACCAAATTAAGTGCGGTAATAAACACAGAAATTTTCAGAGTTTTAAAACCCTTAAAAAAATTGACATGTCATCATTAACAAAGCTTGTGTTCACCAAAATAACATACCGCATAAATGCATCTGTTAAATGTTTTAAAATAATAGCAATTGATTTTTTTTATCGAGTTTGGAGAGCACCATCTGGTGGTATAAGCAGCAGTCATATCGAACTATCTGTCACGATTATAATTTTATCTGACTTTTGACGCAGGGAAAGCCTACTTACAAATTCCACACAATTTAAAAAAATGTAAAAATTGACGAAAACAAGCACCACTAAGTCGTCGGCCAAAAAGTTGCATACATTATACATGCGGTAGGCATTTTACAACGCTCAGAGATATTAAAACACTCGGCTTTGCCTCGTGTTTCAATATTAAATCTTCGCGTTGTAAAATGTAACCTACCGCATTTATAATGTAAATAACTATTGATTAATTATAACTTGTTTAGTCCTCATGAAACGTCGAAAAAATATGAAAGTACCAAGTCCCCTGATGGACTTAGCTTACGTTCAATAAGTAAAAATGACCTCTCAGCAATAACTTGAATTGTTTATGTTCATACATCGGATGAATGCCAAGTAGAAAATAGTTTGATGTGGATGAGTTTGCCGCTACAAAACGATGGATTAAAACTTTTAATTAAGCCACAATAAAAAAATGTTCTATTTATATTATAATGCCAAATGAAAAATTTCCAATAATATCTAAAATAAATGGTTAGTGCAGTAGTTAATAAATAAGCCTGCTGGCATAAAAGAAATTATTTCACATTTCATACATCGAATGGAATGCCGTGAATACCATCACAATCGTTTTTGTCCTCTTTCATTAGTAATTTATGAATTATCAACCAACAATTATTACACATAAACAAAATTGTGGCAATTTTGTTTGTTATAAGTGTGGAGTGAGTAAATTGACACACTTGACTTTTGCACAATTAAAAAAAATTGTTTTAAAATTTCGACCCTTAATGATTTCCGAAAACTTTTAATACAAAACATGTCAATAGATTGTTTATACTTGACTCTGAGCTTAGCTCCACTTGAGTAGAGTGCCATTTGCCTGACTCTTATGTAAATAACTATTATCTACGTTTTACCATCGCAAAAATCGTCGGTAAAATAACAAAATGACTAAGTATAAGATAATAGTTATTTATTAGACTAGTGTCTTATGTAGCGTATAAACCACGCAAGAAAAAGTTTAGTCACGAGCGAAGAAGGAGCGAGTTGTTTTTGTTTTTTTTTTTTACAAAAGGCATAATAGATATATAAAAATTATGTAAAGGAAAAGCATTTTATAGCAACCCATTTATTGACAATTCAGAGTACAATAACTTTATATTGACTTCGTCGTTTTATTTTTTTTTTCACGCTCTTGTATACAGCTTCTAATATGTATGGAGGATCTTTGCAGCGTTTTTCTTGGCCTATATTGTCTTCGATTATCTCTGGAGGTATACAATATTTAAAAAAAGTTATTAATTTTGGTAACATGTGTTCTTGCCAAAATTTTTGATCTCTTTCGATTTCTTCTACAAAGAGCTCGATTTTGTCACTGTGTATACAATAAAGTAGCATTTGCGTGTGATGTTGACCTGTCCCTGTACCTAGTAAGACAAATTTTCAACGTTTTAAATTATTCACTGTTAATACTTAAGTTATCTTTAAATTTTTTTTCTCAAAAAAAATATTTTTTTTTTACTTATCACGTCATCTATGCGGATTGCCTTAAGATCCCGAGCTGAGTACAAAGACTTCATGTCCACAATTGCATCGTCTCCTACGATTCCTGAAATTGTTGTAAGTACATTTTTACATCACAATTTCAATGCCAAGTTAATAAAATATTATATAAACACTAAGTATACGAAAAAACAAAAAATTACCATCAGGAGAAGCGCCAAGAAGAGATGAGAGGTATACGCTCTTCTCTTTATCACACGTCCAAACATCGACGCTGTTAGCCTTAGTTTCCTTTCGGACTCGTTAATTTTGTTTCCAAATTGTCCTTTGGAAATTTTCGATCCCTTTCTTCTTGACTGACCTATAAATTTATATTGGATGACATAACAAATTTTTTGTTAAACCAATTTTATTACCTTCAGTTTCTCCTTCAGTTTCTCCAGAAGGAGTTCGCATTCCATTTTAATAATATCTGGATCCATTTCAGGCTTTTCTGCGTTCGGCCCATATTCTTATTTCCTCTCTGTGTTCTTATTATTTTTTTTTTATTGATACTTTGTTCTCCATTAGAAAACAATATTTTCCTTGAAAATAAATTTGACGAAGGGGGACTGGCTGATCGTTAGATTGAGTGCACTAGTAAGATAAACATAGGGGCAGAAACCGGCTGCACGGGCTCTTGCTGTCCGGGACGGAAACCCAAATCAAGCAGGAAGAAGCCCATTTGAAAAGGACTCAATCACTAGTCGGGCGAGGTTCATAATGACGACGCATTAAAGTCCCAGGGCATGCAGTAACTGGGTCAGTGGGACTTCATACCATCGAGTCAACAGCTCGATGGGACGTTGGAAGGAGAAGCTCGGCGATGTGCTGCTGCATGAAGACGGACGGCTTTATTTACCGAAAGACTGAATCTGACTAGAATGAATTACCCTCCTTTTCAAAGGGGTTTTTCAGCGTGAGAACATCATGGAAAATAGGAAAAAAATCCATTTCTTGTCATTTCGTCCCCGAAAATATGTTGCAATTCACGATATTCGAGGAAAGATAATGAGACGGTTCGACGTGAATTGCTACTGAAGTGATTTGATTGGTCAGAAGGTTCTCTTCGTACGTGGGCATAAACTGCTTTTTGGCAATTATTCCCGGGAGAAAGTATAACTATGCGGAAGTAATCGATGGCTTTTAATCAATTGACGGTAACTCAGAAATTCAGATTTTGGTCCCTCCGATAAAGACGGGTGGGCTTGGTTATTAACATTTTTACGCAACCTGCTAGTAGATGACTTGATTTGCTAGTTAAATGAATCTGGAGTATATGCTCAACAATGCTAATGACACAGTAATTATTGTAAAAAGCAAATGTCTCACTGCAGCTAAGCTTACCGCAGATGGTCCTCGGACTCGTTGAAAAATGATGTCGATTGAATCGAGATAAGACTAACTATGTAGTTTTTGGAAGGACACATTGAACAATTCTGGGGTAGAATTGTGGGAGTGAGTAAAATACCAATAAAACTTAATACTGATTTTATTCGAAACAACCTAACTTATTTATACAAATCTAACTATTTACAGCGTATGAGTGGTTCTAAACTAAAGGTAATGAGAGATATGAAATTGTTTCTTGTATGTTCTTTTGTTTCATTACCGCTGTCTTATGTTGCGATATTCACCCGCGCCCAGCAATGCATCAATTGGGCCCTTATCTTGGAAGGCTGGATCCGCGATGATATGATTCTGCCACACCTGAAAATCTGTTTCGATGTCTTCTTCTGGTAGAGATTCTGTAATTTTTTATATTACCAGTAGGTCTGTTGTGAGTGTGAAATCACTCGAAAATCGTGGAGCGCACTCGACTCTAATTTTGGAGTTTGATTTGTTCGGTATTTCTCCTCCAAGTCCAGTTATATCGGCTTGAATGTGTTCTCTGGGTAGTGACAAGAGCGTTGCTGCTTTCTCTGTTATGAGCGATGCCTGCGATCCCGGGTCAATAAGGGCTCGTAAATATTCGTATGTTCCACTTGCTGTTCGTACTCTTATTAGCGCTGTGGCCAGAAGTACCTGTTTGTTTTCAATGCCTACATGGCTTTGAATTTTCTTCGTTGAGTTTTCTCCAGAGTTTGGAGTTTGTTTGTTTGTTGAGTTGAATGTTTTTTGCTGGTTGATATTCGGGTTGCTTCTTCGGTCGTTGTGTAATAATGTATGGTACCTTCTTTTGCATTTATGGCATGATGCT